GCTACTATTATCATCATCATCACCTGACCACAATCACCTAACCACTATCATCACCTGACCACCATCATCACAGTCACCATCACCTGACAATCATCACCGCTACTATCATCATCACCATCATCAGGGTTAAAACTAATCGTCCATAATCTATCTTCAGGCGAGTCTCCGGCGTGACAACCATTGTATTTTATTGTTAAAACAACTGCTGCTTTTGGTATTGGTATGGTCGAAACAGTCACCAGCGATCTTACCATATTGTATCGGGCCTATTGGTAAGTCACACATACCTGATAAGCTGACTAATTTTTATGCATGTTGCCTGCAATACCTAATCCCTGTTGTGATAATGTAAACATGTACAATGGAACAAAGGTGATACGAAGTTTTTACTAAATAACCGAATAACGTTTTTCCCCTCTAGAAAAACAAGAGTACCTAGTACAGTTATTCAAGCTAGTTTCCAGGCTCTGGTTGGTCAACCAGCAAACACTTGACGCAACTGAACTGGAAAACAATGTTTCAGGTATAAAAATTATTCGTTTTTCAGGCCAATCTAGGCGAAAGTCTTTGCTCTATTTCATTCGTTGTTGCACGGTGAAGATACTGTATTTTTGGCATAAGGGAGCGGTCATTATTTATGGAGGGGGGGGCACCGAAGAGAAAAGGGGTGGGTAAACAAAATGTTGAGTGAGTTAAAGGTTGGGTAAATGAAAAACAAAACAACTCAAGGGTTGGGTAATAGAAATTTATTGTCATTTCCAAAGCATGACTCACTCAAATATTGAATACTAAACAAGCAATACAATATGTGAATCAATCAGAGTCACTTATCTTGATTGTTTTTCCTGATTTGTGAGAAGGCAAATGGTGTCTCCAAAGAAAGTACATGCGCAGACAACATGAAACTTTAGACTGCAAAAAATTGCACAAGCAGTACTCGTGTCAGAGAAGTGATAAAGAATACCATAGTGTGTGACAAGTGTGACTTTTGTTAAGTTTTTGGCAAGGGGCGGGTATTTATTTTTTAATTAATATTTGATGTGGAGTAAATTTTTTTAAACTTTTTTATGGTTGGATCAACAGAATCTTTACCAAGAAAAGCATTTCTCTACGATGTCCCCCCCCGGTCCCGAATTATACACGGGGGAGCTGGCTCAATCATAAAATCGTAACTCACTTTAGAACTTTCTATTTTAGATATGGAATTGTATTTTTCAAGCCACTTAAATTTCCTCTATCAATCCATGTTGACGTCTCCCACTACTCAAGGTACGGTTTTAAATTAGATTTTTCAATCTTGTATTTTTTTTTGCGTTAGGGACAGCAACTCTTACTTACATAATGACGATATATTAGCGCGTAAATACAAAAACAAATACTTCTAGACATATCGTTAATATCGTGGTAATGTCAAATATAGTAAACGAGAAAACGTTTATTACTGGCGTATAAAACTACTGAGAAGTGTGCTGAAAAACGAGGCGTCGCGCGATGAAAAGTTTTCAAAGCCGAAAATCGTTTTCGCGTTCCTCTCAAAATTACTTTGTCTTAACTTTATCTTGTAGTTAGCAACATTTATAAATGTATCTGGCGGTTGAGAAACACAAAATAATAACTAAATATTGTCAATTTAAATACAGTTATCATTGATGCTTTAAAAGTGACGCCACACAGTGATATAAGCAAAATTTATTACAAACTTCAGATATCATTTCTCTTTGGCGTATACCAAAGGAGAGAGACAGAAAATTATTCCCAATCATCGTTTTCTTCCAACCTTTCTGTCTCTCTCTCGAGGAGAGAGACAGAAAATTATTTAGCAAATCGTATCGAATCCAGAACATGCCCTACATGAATTGCTTCCTGTGTGTAAACAAAGGATTTTAAGACAAAGGGAACATAACTTTATTTTACCTCAAATTGAAACGGAACGATTTAAACGATCCTTCATAAATAGATGTCTTTTTAACTATTTTTAACTTTCATATAATTAATTAGGATAGATCAAGTTTTTAACTGTAATAATTAGGAATTTGACGTTTGTAAAGTTGCACGTCCGTTGTGACTCTAGACAATAAAGACTTTAATAATAATAATAATCTAAAACATCTTCATTTTACCATTATTTTACAGATAAATTAAGCATTAAACATAGTTTAAAACGTCGTATCAAAAAAACCTGACTAATACAATCATACCCAAGTGGAAAAGTATATTCATTATGTAGTTTTGAGCGTGTTACGTAACGTGCAAAACATTCACCTCTTAATGGGTTTGAGAAGAATCACAAGCTAAAGCTAGGATTTGTGTTCGTCTAAGGGGCCATTTTTGGACCTTCTTATAAAATTGAATTTGTTATCTCACTCGTTCTTTAGGAGTTGCCGGGAAACAAGCATATCTTAAACCCGACGAACCGGATGTGTTCGAATTTGGCGAGAAACCACGTGACCGGATGGTACCGTTAAGGCTGCTGACCAGTCAGTACTGTGGCAACATTGATGTCGTGACCAAAATGTTTCTTGGCAACGCATCTGACTGCAAGCTTCGACAGTGCACAAAGTAAGCGTGCTTGTATTGGGTTGTTTGCCTTTAGAGTGCCTATACGATAATTTTTTATCATTGAATTGCAAAGTTCATTTGAAATCATAAACTTTTTTTCTAAAACTTTGTTATCTTTCCTGTATACCAAGATATGGACTTTGTTTGGCATGCAAATATGACTTAAATGGCGTCACACTGCATAATGTATTTTACAGAAGACTGGTTTTTAGCTTGATAAAATTGTCATTAACTCAAAAATTTGCAGACGAAATGATAGCTTTCATTGATAGTTCCTAAAGTATATAACTTTCAATGTCAGTGGAATTATCACATGTTTGGCAAGGAAACGTTTTCTTTCTAAAAACTCATTATGCAGTCTGACGTCATTTAAGTCACATTTGCATGCCAAACAAAGTCGAAAATCTTGACATATACAGGAACGATATCGTTACGTTTTAGCAAATAAGTTACATTATGATTTTAAATGAACTTTGCAATTCAATCGTAAAAAAATCTTGTATAGGCACTTTGTGACCGGTATTCTATTCCTGCAGCAGGATTCCGGACTATAATCTCACCTCAGTCGCATGCGAGAAGAGTGCTTCCATTTTGACTCTCGCATCTACTATCGCAGTGAATTGCTGCCTGATGAATGTTTACAATATGCTGAATGATAGTGCATTGCATTTGAAAATGTTGAAATCCTGATGTGTATACAGTCGAACCTCTATTAAGCGGCCACCCTCGGGGATCGGCTTTGTGGCCGCTTAATAGAGGTAGCCTCTAAGTAGAGGTACGCAAATAATAGACCCTGGGCGTAGTCAAATGTCTATTTTTAATTATGAATCACAGAATACAATAGTGATTTTATCTTTAATTCTCAGTTTCATCTACTATAACATTTTTTCACAGGCATACATTGTGCCAACAACACGAGGCCATCACACTATCATATTTCACACTAAACCTTTTGAACAAACATTTAGGGACTATTGTGGCATAAATTTATTACTAGGACACCAATACGGTTCTCATTACCTATATCTAAACCTAAAAATCCTGCAGGCTGGCCGCTTAATAGAGGTAAAAATTGACACAAAACATAATTTGGGCCCGCTTTTTGGGTGGCCGCGGCCGCTTAATAGAGGTGGCCGTTTAATAGAGGGATAGTTTATAGTATTTGTATTACAAAATTTTCGGGACTTCGATATGTGGCCGCTTAATGGAGGGCCGCTTAATAGAGATTCGACTTACTCATTATTTAAACAATATCACCACAATTCACGAATAATTTTCCATGCAAATACAAAATGAGTTACATGCAAATCATCTCTTTTTGATTCCCCTTGACAGTATTTGTCTTTTAATATTCTAATCCTGATTTGCAAATACAAACTAAACAGGGTTTGCCCGGGTTAATTGTTCTACACTTCAAACAAAGTAATTGGAATTATGGCCTGAGTTAGACCTCGAACACTTAAATCCCGGCTAGCTGGGATATACGTCTGAGCACGCATCAATCATTCACCTTGGCAATGTACAGTAGTTTGTTCTGCATGAAAATCCTGTTCGAGATCATGTAAACAGAGGCTATTAAAGTGCCTATGCAAGATTTTTTATGATTGAATTGCAAAGTTCATTTTAAAATCATAATGTAACTTTTTTTTTAAAACTCTGTTATCTTTCCTGTATGTCAAGATATTGGACTTTGTTCGGCATGCAAACATTTGCACTTAAATGACGTCACACTGCATAATGAGTTTTTAGAAAGAAAACGTTTCCTTGCCAAACATGTGATAATTCCACCGAGATTGAAAGTTATATACTTTAGGAACTATCAATGAAAGCTATCATTTCGTCTGCAAATTTTTGAGTTAATGACAATTTTATCAAGCTAAAAAACAGTCTTCTGTAAAACACATTATGCAGTGTGACGTCATTTAAGTCATATTTGCATGCCAAACAAAGTCCAATATCAAAACAATAATGAACTAGTGAAATCGACATGGTGAACGCCCACTATGTCATAATTGATTTTCGCGCCAAATTTTTCAGTAAGATTCAAAATCAGGCAAGTGACACAAGTCGCTCGCTTCCGTCTTTCTCAAGCGCTCCCTTCTTGCTACGCGCGATCCCTAGCGAGCGACTTGGGCAAGTCTATAGTAGAGCGTGCTCCTTATGTTTAGATGTGATGGTATCTCTTTGTTAACGCAATCAACCGATGCTCAACCAGAGGATACTTGGGAACAAAAGTGGACAGCGTCGTGTATGTGCGGTGGTGTTTGGAAGCGATTACAGCCAAGCTGACGAGACTAACAACGACGTGAAAGTTTATTACTAAAGGCTAGCGTGTTTCTGTTCGACATACGTATCGAGGAATTTCGTCCATCTAATTGCTGGTCAACTTACATGAAATAATTTTATTTGGAAAATCCTTTACATCCTATAGAAAAATATTCTCATTTCTTCGTTCCAAGATCTGCTATACTACCACTGTCCACCTAACAACAGAAAAACAAATTATTTTGTTCAATTCTAGACCAAATGAACTGTCATTTCAAGTAAGGCACCGGTCATTATTTATTGGGGGGGGGCACCAAAAAGAAATGTTGGTAAAAATGTTGCTGATCCAACCATTAAAAAGTCCAAAAAATTTTACCCAACCTCAAACATCAATTACCACCAAAAATAAATACCCACCCCTGGCCAGAAACTTTACAAAAAGATACCATTCAGTTTGATAACAGCTTGTGCAATTTTCGACAGGCTAAAGTTTCGTGTTGTCTACACATGTACTTTCTTTGAAGATACCATTTGCCTCCAAACAAATCGGAAAATGCAAAAGATAGTGACTCTGGTTGATATTGTATTGACATGCATGACTGTTAGCATTGCTTTTTAATCTTCAATATTTTTAATGAGTCATGCTTTGGAAATGACAATAAATTTTTATTACCCAACCCTTGAGTTGTTTTGTTTTCCATTTATCCAAACTTTTACTCACTCAAATTTTGTTTGCCCAACCCTTTTCTCTTCGGTGCCACCCCCACCATAAATAATGACCAGTCCCTAAGGACATATTACACGAGGCGATTTTCGCAGCAACTTCAATGCAATTTCGGATACAGAGTCATGTTATCGTAGTCACAAAGAAATATGAGCATGGCCCGTATTCTACTCTGCTGATGCTTTCTGTACATGACATACTTTAAAGGCGGTTTTTCACTAAGCGAAATTTTTCGACCGAATTGAAATTTTCTTTTGTAAAGGCGGTTTTCCACTAGGCGAAATTTTTCGACCGAATCGAAATTTCTCTTTGTTTCAGAGCTCTCGAGCAGAACTAATTGTAAAAAGACAAAGAGAAATTTCGTTTCGGTCGAAAAATTCCGCCTCGTGGAATCCGGCCTTAAGGCCTTAAGGCCTTAAGGCGGTTTTCCACTAGGCGAAATTTTTCGAACGAATCGAAATTTCTCTTTGTTTCATGAGCTCTCAAGCAGAACTAATTGTAAAAAGACAGAGAGAAATTTCGTTTCGGTCGAAAAATTCCGCCTCGTGGAATCAGGCCTTTACAAGCACTCAGACGTAACTAAACAGAAATCTTTTGAATTTGAACAATATAAATTTCGGTTCGATCGAAAAATTTCGCCTAGCCTGCGAACAGGCTCTCTTTGAACTCTAAATTTCGCCCAGTGGAAAACCGCCTTAAGGAATGAAAAATGAAAGAAATGGGATGAAAAATGTCGGCAAAGTAAACCTTGGCCTATAGTCACAATTTTCCTGATGAGAGTACTTTTTAAAAATCGTGGCTCTATGCCAGAAATTGCATTACAAAGTTGCCTCATGTGACTGCTAACATTTGCCCGTTCATTTAACTGAAAACTGAATAAAGATCTTAACTGATAGATGACAATGCACCTTTCCAAAACGTAAGACAAAGAGACTACAGAATGTCACTGTCGCGCCATCGCCATAGAAACTTTTACTTGTCAGTGATGACGATATTATGGAAAAGGGATTTCATATCATCCTATAGTTATTATAACAGTATGTCTTCAATATGTGATCCAAACCCAAGGTTCGACACTTTAGCCGAATTCACATTAGAGAAGGAAAACGGGCGGGAAACTCGTGCAAAATAAATCCGGCAACAGACGAGTTTTCCATCTCAACTTTGCCGACTTTCTTATCCAAACAGACTTGCCTCACAACTTCTCAACAAGATGTGTTCAAAAACAGGCTTGTAAGCAAGCTTGTCAACCAGTTGTAACAATGCTGTTATTTTATCAAGTTGCTACAAGGTTGTCACTCGCAACTTGGTGCCGAATTGTTGAATTGCAGGACGATAACAAGTTGTTGGAACAACTTGCAACAAGTCTGTTGAGCTCAACAACCTTGTATAGCAAGTTGTCAAGAAGCCGTTGACAACTTGTTAACAAGCTGGGAACAAGCAGTGCGAATACACCCTGTTGACAAGTTGTTGGAACAGCATTGCTACAAGTCTGCTGCAGGTTTGTTCCAACTTGTGCGTTCTTACGTGGGTGGACGAGAAACCCATCTTAAATTCGCATTCAGACGGATAAAGGGTTGCCAAGCAAGGGAAAACTAGAACTCGAGATAAACATATAAAATTGTATATAAAACCTACATAAAATTGAATATAAAACCTACATCGTAGCAAACTGGAGAACTCTTAAACTATTTTATGATTTAAAATTGCTAAGTTTAGTATTTAACTGCTATCATCAAATTTCTCCAGCTTCAAAAATTATTTGTGAAAAGAGAAAGAATGTATAACTTTCGAACAATGAACTGTTTAAGAATTCGAAAACCGAAAACTGACTACTTGAAGAAGTCTGTGTCATACAAGCGAGCTGTTTTATGGAACAACTCTCTCGATAATGATTTAAGATGTTTGGAATACACAAGTTACAAGACTTTAAAGAAAAGATTTAAAGATCAATATTCAGACAATTATATATAAATATAGGTTTTTATAGTTAGTTTAGCTAGAATTTTTGCTATTTTCACGACCACACCAGCACTGCCTGTAACTAAGGCCCCGATTACACTATACCGGATTGTATCGAAGCGACGCGATTTCTGTACCAGATTGGCCTCTTGTTTACACTATACGCCACTGTAATCCGGTACGTGCCGCGGCGCGAAAATCACTTCGCTTTGGAGGTGATATGAAAAGTAATCCGGTACGTGCTGTACCGGATAAAACCAAGTGTAATCAGGCAATCCGGTACGCTCCGGTACTATAAATAGGTTTCGGCAAGTATATGTTAACATTGTCGTTTTATTTACTCGCTTTTAAATATTTTATAGCTGTTGTTTGCTTCGCTTTACAATTATTTATTATTTCTAGCGAAGACAAATAAAGATAGCGGTAATAACATTGACTTCTTGCTTTCAAAAGGGCAAAATTTAATGAAATACTCGTCAATTTTCGATAAGAGCGAGACAAAGCAACGTCGGGTGGTCAAGCTTTGTAAACAAAGTTATAATTCACAAGTACTGTCGAGAAAACGTCCAAAATGGTCAAAACTTATTATTTGTTTCCGTGGCAACGATAAAAGATACGAGCTGGCAACAGAGCGAAGTGGCATAGTGTAAACACCCTTGATTTTGGCTTCGGTGTGAAAATTGATCCGGTATAAAAATCAATCCGGTATAGTGTAATCCCAGCCTAACTTATCGTGATTAAATAAATACATATTATTATTATTATTATTATAAAATTTCATACGGATTTCCTTCCCCAAAGTTATTATGGTTAGCACTAGCAAACTGACCTAACGTCATTTTCGCAAGATAGAAGAGGTGTTAAATGGCTATGTAACAAAACATACCCCTACTCTAACCCCTAACCTTAACCTCAACCCTAACCCTAACCCTAACCGAATTAATAAAAAAATCCAAAAAGAAACGACTTTACAAAATCGGTAGGGCGGTTTGCTGGATGGAAAAAAGTGCTAACAAGTTACTATATTCAGACGGTTTTCATGCTCTGGTTTTCATGGACGACTTTCCCATCTCTAATATGAATTCGGCTATTTGCATGTGTAAGTCCAATGTTTGCGCAATTTTGTACAGTTGTGAATTTGTGTTTTTGCTTTTTCATTTGAAGAAAGACCTACTGTCATAAATACAACTCTCGTTAAAACAAACACCAAATGTTCTCCTACCTCTGGCCATTTTTCTTGTATAAAATCAATAACGTCATCTTTTACGTCACCCTGAATGATGATCTCATCGTCGCCAGTGATTGAAGTACCACAAGCGAACTTCTGACCAAACGACTTAGTTGCTTTCTTTATATCGATTTCTGAAAATGAAATTTACGATACAACTTCAATATTTTGATGACCCTAAACCTCACACTTAATCCTAACCTAAACGCTAACCTAAATCCTAATCTGATCTAAATCCCAACCCCCTAATAACAGGACTCCGGGAACTCCACTCGACACGACTAATTGTTGAAGCCAAAGAAAGGATTTGTAAAAAGAAATTCGAGTGGAATTTTTATACATTTTTGAGACAGGGTTCGTAGTCTCCAAGACCAAAAAAATTCAAAGACTTTCAAAGATTTTTTCTGCCTATTTTCAAAGACTTTTCAAAGATCTTTGAGAGCAATCAGCTGTCGAAAAATGGCGAGTGTAAGCACCATTTTTACCCAGTAATCAGTCCCGTCAAATCACATCCTCAAATGCGCATTTTCGTCGATATTTGCGAAAATCTTGATTCAATCAATCTATTTTATTAGCTAGGAAATCGTATAATCAATTCCTCACTAAAGAATTTAAAGACTTTTAAAGACTTTCTTCGCTTTTTCACACAATTTAAAGACTTCAAAGACCTTAAAGACCTGCATTCCAATTTAAAGACTTTCAAGGATTTCAAAGACCGCTACGAACCCTGTGAGACCTAACAAGCAGAGTTGCTAAGAATGCAACTATCGGCCCTCTGGCAGGAATCGAAGCTGTGGCTCTGTGATTCCGGTGCAGCGCTCTAACCAACGAAGCCACAAAAAGACAGTTGTCGAGCTCCAACCACAAGTTTCCATCTAACAAATCCCTTTAGTTGTGCCGAGTGAGGTGCCTGGTATTTGCCCGTGCATTGTTCATTGGTATCACCTTAAGCCCTGGGCAAACTAGGGAACATTGTGGAAATATTTGTGATTCTCGATGTTTCCTCTGATGATCCGTTAAACAGATGATGCAATTAGCCTCGGTTTATCCGCCATTTTGGGGTACTGCTTCTCCCAAGTCTGAGAGAGCACGCACCGCGAAATGCGACATTTTATCACCGTAGCTGTGTGTATAATGGTAAATTTACAGTTCCAACAACAGAAAAAGTCACTTTTGTTTTAATAGACCTTTCCCCTTTTAAGTGAAATTTTGATCTAGACAAGTCTGGCCAAAAATTTCATCACAGCTTGAAAGAGCATCGCAAAATTAGTAATATTCCGAAGTTTCGTTGCAAATTTTTGTCCAGGCTAGTCTAGATAAATGTTTTTCTTGGTAAACATTTTGCTGATCCAACCATTAAAAAGTCAAAAAAATCTTATCCAAACTTAAATATCAATTGCAAAATACGTACCCACCCCTGGCCGTATTCTTTACCATTTCTGTGACATAACTACTTGTGCAATTTTCTGCAGTCTAAAGTTTCATGTTATCTGCACATGTACTTTCTTTGGAGACAATATTTACCTCGGGACAAATGACTGATCAAGATAGCGACTCTGATTGATTTTACATATTGTATTGCTTGTTTAGTAGTCAATATTTGAGTGAGTCACACTTTGGAAATGACAATAAATTTCTATTACCCAACCCTCACCCTTGACTTGTTTTGTTTTTCATTTACCCAACCTTTTACTCACTCAAAATTTTGTTTGCCCAACCATTTTCTCTTCAGTGCCACCCTGACCCGCCGCCATAAATGACTTCTCCCTTATTTGTTTCAAATATAAGTCGCGAGGGTGGAAAAGTATCGGATTTTTGTATTCCCGGAAAATATTCCCCCAAGAAAAGAAAAGATACTTGTAATAATTTAGATAGATAAAAGATATTTCATTTTATGTTTCATAGTAAAAGTATAGCAAAATTTCAATGTTCCCTTGCGGTTCCAGAAAGTAAAATATTTTCCCCACCCAATAAGTAATGTCAACGTACCGAACGTCTTTAATCCTGTCACTACAGTCACATATTTTTTCTTGCTTCGTTGGGATAATGACACTGTTATTTTCTTGGGTCCTGTGGATGGCTGCAAGCAAAATATCAGGGGGAAATATATTAATTACAGTAAAATTAACCCCACTATCTGGAACAGCCAAGGGAAACAGAAAGGAGCAAAGAATGGAGCTATTGTATTTGGAGCGTGATTTCCTCCGACTTGGGTGCCATGTCTTTGTCTTAGAAATCTCAAGTGATTGATTGAAAACCACCATGGCCAATAGACCTTACTTAGAAGTGCGATTACGTCACACAATTTTTAATACAGAGGACATCTGAAATGCACACTTGACAGTGCATTGTGGGATAGTTTTCGGTCAATTCATTGTTTGGAAATTACGGACATACAGTAGGCACTTCTAAGGTCCATTCCCACGGATAACAGCGTCTTAAAGTGATTCATCAGTTTTGCATTGCGCACTTTTACTGCGCATATCTAATAACAAATTCCGGCTAATATATGTAGTCGAACTGCAATGTAAAGTGATAGAGAAAGAGTAAGGGAAAAGAGAAAAACACTCTGCATTGATTAGGCGTGCTTCAGGAAAAATACCTTCAAAAATGACAGAACTCTGGCTAGGGTTCTTGTGGGACTAACACATCATGTTGCATGTTTAACCCTTGCATCTCTTTAATAAGAAGCTCCGTGACCCTAATTTTTTATTTGACATGTACAGTAAAACGTACAGAAGAAAAAAAAATATATCAGAAAATAAGATAAAAATCATTTCTATAACTTGTTTCCCAAAATAACATGTCTGAGAAGATGGGAAAAGACATCTTTGCACAACGACAATGCACGTCAATGGCTTTTGATTCGCTAAAATATTTTCTTGCATATAATCACTAGATATACATTTTTGGTAGGATCCTTGTTAATTAAAAAAAGGATATACGAATATTTCTTACCTTTTTTTTAGTTTTAACAACACCTTTTCCTCCTAAATATTAAGGAAATATTAGACTATACGTCTTTAAAGTGCCACTAACCCCAAATATGTTATTTGCATTGGACAGTAAAATAATAAGGTAAAGGGGGAATGAGCCTAAATAGAAAAGCATCACTAAAATAGGTGTATTTCACATAGCACCGCTACGCAGAAGTGGTTTACTGTGGTGATAATCATTAGTCTTGTACTTGGGGGCATGTCAACCATAATATGTCACGTGCAGTGGCTTTAAACATGATAAAACACTCTTAATTAGTATGCTTTATATAAAGAATACTAATAAGGCAGTATCTATTGTAGTCGTGTCCTCATTAGTATTCTTTATATAAAGAATACTAATAAGGCAGTATATCTATCTTGAATTTGTAGTCGTGTTTGAAGCCGTTTAATAAACTCGCAGGTCGTGTTTTATTAGGTCTAAAGACACTCGCGCTGCGCGCTCGTGGCTTTAAACCTAATAATTAAAAACACTCCTGCTCGTTTATTAAACAGTACTTAACCCATCAAGGTACAATACACCCAAATATGCCTTATTTTGTTATTTTACTCTGTCTAATGCCAGGCAATTTTAGTTGTCAAGGGGAGACTCTTGAACATTAATGGGTTAAACGATTTCTGTACTGTAAGTGAATGGTTCTTATAAAGTTGACAAAAGAAAAAAAATTTAATCTGGGAATAACAAAGGATATTTTCGGAAAGAAGTTATCAAAATTAGAAAAACTGCAAAGTTTGGTTGCGAAATGTTGTAAAATACGGAAAATATAGCCCTGCGAAGTTGGCAAATTTGTATACATTTCTATTACGTGCGGAAATTGGTAACTAATTTAGTTACCAATTCACGCACGTAACACAAAAGTATACAAATTTGCCAACTTTAAAGGGCTATATTTTCCGTATTTTACAACATTTCGCAACCAAACTTTGTAATATTACTAATTCCAAGACGCTCTTTCTAGCTGTGGTGATAGATTTCGTTGTTCTTACTTAGATTAAAATTTAGTCTGAAGCGCAAGTCGTCCATTGTGGTATATTTAGTACAGCCATAGTCTATTAAGATATGATGGTGTGAAAACTAAACATAAGGCATTCGACTGTGTTACGTTTTTGTTTGTCACGGTCACAGTAATTGAGTTCATTGTACTATTCTGTAGCTTTAAAGTTTGCTGGGCATGCAAACAATTATATCTTGAGAGACTACGCTGTACAGCTTACCTCTTGTCTGTCGTTTCTTTGCTCCTGCAACATCTAATGCTTCAAGACCTTGTGCAACTGAAAGAATGTGTCGTTAATAGAATGTTTTACATTTTACTGATTGCATGAGTGTATATGGTTGATACTTTTATTGTAGGATTTAATATTCAAGACTTTGATATGTCTATTATTCATGTAATACTTTTGCAAATATTTTACAAAATTGATCTTTTGATTGTGGATTTTAGAAGTGTTTCATTTGGTATAAATTGTGTAAGACAAGGATATAACATTTGACATTTTTGGCACGTGTCTCACATATATATTGTCTATGTGAGGTTTTGCATTTTAACTTTACCTTTGAGCTAAACTATATCTATCTGAACTTTCACAATTTGTAATGTACAATATATGGTTATAAAGTACAATCTTGTCATGAGACTGGGTTGTTCCAGAAAAGATCCACACTCCCCCACAGAAGAAATGTCCGCCGTTCGAAGGGGTAAGGAAGAAAAATTTGTTTCCGATACATGCAGGTACCACAGAATATCAGTAAAATCGTCTGGCATTAGACAGAGTAATAATAAAGTAGGTGAGGTAGGTCATCTTCGAGTTAAGCCCCGACCACGCCCAAAACCACACCCATTTTCGTCAAGGACTTAACTCGAAGGAACACAACTTGAAAAATTCCAGTTAAACCCCGTGAAAAACGAGGCTCGAAGTCATTGAAAATATTCGACGCTCAAGTTAAGCCCCGACATTTGAGGCATGTAAAAGAGCAATGATTTGAGCGGTCCACAATCTAGCTGGAAATAGTTATTATACGTCTCGGCCTAAAATTGTCGTAAATAAGCTGCAGCCTAAATGAGTCATGAACAATTCATACAAACAGTCAAGATTCATTAAGTAACAGATTATTTTTGACTAGCTTTTGTACCTCTGAGCTTATTACAAATAAATTGACCTCACGGCTTTATTTCGCGTAAAAGGTCAATTTATTCGCAAGGGACCGGTCATTATTTATGGCGGGCGGGCGAAGAGAAAATGGGTGGGTAAACAAAATTTTATGGGTGGAAAAGGGTGGGTTGAATAAAAATTCACCAAGCCAAAGGGTGGGTAAAGTAAAAATCATTAAGTTGGAAAATACTAACATATTTGTATTATTTGTTTTATTCAGATCGAATAAATATCATTTACTTTATATATCGATTTGCAAAGTATTCCATTTGAACCTGCCATAACAGTTATGATAAAGTGACAGAGCATGTGAAAGTAAAGTTGGGACTGCCGACAACACATCAAGAATCAAAATACATGTTGCCCACACAACGCAAAATTCCCATTGGGCGAATCAATATGCCTGTCAATCAAATCTGATAACGTAGTAATTTATGCTACAAATAATTTCCATTTCCAATGTTGATTTTATAAATAAACATGACATTAATGGTTCCTATTGGATAGATTTAATTGGATATAAGTAATGTTTATGCAAAGGCGGAACCAACTTGACAAGAGTGAAAAGTGGGCGTATTTCGTTTCTTGAAGTGCAGGCCTTAAAATATCGGTCGGTCACGGACATTGTCCGACCCATTCGTGAAATTGTCCGACGTAGAAAGGAAACCACCGGACATTCTGTCCGACCTAAGTGAAACTGAGGTTTATTGTTTGTCCGACCCAACTCACCCGAGTGTATTGGTGTCCGACCGAACTGTAACTTTGTCCAACGTAAATCAAAATGTACCCTAGCCCAGGACAAGAAACTTGTGTGTTAAATGGAAAATCAGAGTACTATTGTATAAAAGGTCAACTGGAAATGTTGTTTTAACGTAGTCGAGCACGGGCAAATGGTGAAGTGGAAAACGGGCTTAAGTTGTCGAAGTCTTTTTGATACTGCTGTTCTGGAAAGCAAGTTAATTTTGGCTTGGAAATAAGTATGAAAGAAACAAATTATTTAATATTTTTACAACATTTACCGTTTATTCATTTGGGTCATTCAGACTTATTTCCGAGTCAAAAATGAACTGAAGGTCATCGGACATATGTCCAACCCAAACACAACGTGACCGGACATTTTGTCAGACGGCCCTGGAAAAGATATTTTAAGGCCTGGAAGTGTTGTCGGTGGTCCCTCATTTCTCCCAAGGGACTGCTCACGGTCTAGATGTCTGAAGGGAGTAGGGTAACTTTCAATTTCCCATGTGGGGGAGGTATGGATATTTTCTGGAATGACCCATTATTATTATAAAATAATAATGTACCTTGCGCTATCATGTCTTCATATTCATCAGGGTGATTGTCTTTCCACCATTCCTTGCACTGGTCGTAACTCGGACTGTATTCACAATACTTGCACAAAGAACATGGAGTATTATTTATGGCAATACTATATATGGTTTCAAGACTATGGTCTGAATGGGCGTATGGGCCTGATCTTGTTTGGGGGGGCACAGTATAGTTTGCGCGAACAGGCAAACTGAACATTAATATTTCTCCCCAAAAATGTTGGCGAGGTCAACAAAAAATTTTTTTCAGGACATACAAAAAAAAATTTTCCGGACATATCTACAAACATTCTACAAATTTTTTCCAGACATACAAAAAAATTTTCGGACATACAAAAAAATTTCCGTACATACCAAATACTTTTCTACAGACATACAACAATTTTGACAGACATATCAGAAAATTTTTCCTAACATCACATGATTTTTGCAAAGATATAAAAAATTTTTAAGGACATCAAAACTTTTCTGAAATTTTTATGTTTTGCCCGAATTTCACATGGATTTTTGCCCGAGCGTAAAAATTGGGGGGGGGCAAATGCCCCCCCCCCCGTGCCCCCCGGCCCATACACCTGTGACTATGGTGAAATGCTCAGGGTGGGATGCGTGCTTATTAAACTTCTGATGAAAGGTCATGGTCTCAGCAAGCAAAAATGGCACCATTTTAGAATGTGAATCTTAAATTAACCCATAAACATCCCACGCTTTCCATGTAAGGCCAATAGAATTAAGGCAGCCGTGTGAATTTTCTATCATTTCAATATTTTCATTATTTGTCAAATTTGTGTTGCAAGTGTTTCAAAAATGGCTTTCTGTTGAAATTTTTGGTAAATACTGATTTTGTTTATACAGATAGCAGAGCCATAGCAAAACGGAATCAAAGACATAGCTGATAGCTGAGAACACAGTGAAACAGAGTCAACGAAATAGCTGATAGCTTGGATTTTTTCAGTCAAAATTCGAATTTTTAGCTCAAAATTTGACAAATTCAAATTGTGAAAAATAAATGTAAAAAATCTGCATCAACTTTTGAAATTTTAGTTGACGGTAAACTGATACCTTAATTCCATCAGCTTAAAATTGTCTGACATTAAAGAGAGTAAATTAACAAAGTAGGGTGCATTGTAGCTTAATATGTGGTATAATTTTACAAAAGTTGCATGCAGCACCAAATCAAAAGTTTACATCAAGTGCTGTATATTTTCCTACTTTTTAGCTTATAAAGTACTTTTCTGTATGTGCACATTTAGTTATTTAAACTTCAGCACTGATATATAAATAGCCACTAGAAATAACCAATTGAGTATACCATAAAATACTACAGTATAATAGTACAAAAAGTACAATTTGCAAAATGAAATTTTACAAGTAACAATATTTTAAAATAATTGAACATACCTCGCTAGGTAAGGTACAAACTAAAGAAACAAAATGAAAAAAAGGTAAATAGACATCAGTAATAATATGTCAAAGTCAGAATTCGACATCAGTTTAAAAATACCTCCGCAATAAATTATTTCTAATGGATAACTCAACTCCTCGTCGTCCGCCATATTGCATCGAGTGCGAAAAACACGCGACGCGAAAGAACACGCGAGGAAGAACTCTCTCCTCGCTTTTCTCTCGCGTGTTTTTTGGAACACGTTTCCCGACCTCTTGACGGTCACAAAACAAACACACTAGACAAGCTTTGCCAGAACTGACGTTTTTATTAATGTTTTCTTCTTTTAGAATCATGCTATATTTACAGGGTGGTCTAAATTACTTTATCATGCATTATCTCATCCTAGCTACAGGAAATTTGGCAGACAAGACATTACCGTGACTACTTTGCTACACCAGTATCTCCAAGATATATCAATCAGTCAATCTAACAATCAATTAGCCAAACAATCAATCAGATAAATAGATAATCGATTAAATCAATTTTCAATCAATCAATCACTCGATCAATCAATTTTCAATCAATCAATCCTCGATCAAACAATCATTCTCAATCAATCAATCAATTAATACTCGATCAATTAAACAATCAATTATAAATCAATATTAATCAATCAATACGTCAATTTACTCAGTGGATCAATAATCAATCAAACAACAAATTTATCAGCAGCAATCAATCACGAAATTGTTCATGATCAGAGGTCGATGGGAACATAAGCCAACTGTAAGTCTTCATCGTAGAATTTTTTCACATATTCGACAAACTGTTCTTGCCAAGTCTTCGCTTTTTCAATTTCCATTTCATTCGGGTGCTTTTTGATGGCAAAAGTAACGAAAAGTAGACTTGCGTCGGTGTAATTTTTCCCTTCATATCCGCCCAATACTTGAGGCGGGTAAACTGGATCACCGTATAAACTTATACAAGAGAGATGTAGCGCTGTACGGTCGTCAGTTAGGGATGGATCGCTATAGAAAAATAAAAATAAATAAACCAGGCCTGTAACTAGCTATGAGTCAACTGTTGACTCAGTAAGATTTTTTGTGGAAAAAACGCAAAACAGGAAGTCTTCAAGTTTAGAGAAAACAGATCCTGAATGAAATTTATTCAATTTCTGATGATGGGCACAAGTACGAATTAGCGTCCCAAATATTACCACAAACACGTTTTTTATTATGCACCTGATCTTGTTGGACCAAGAGTACTTGAATTTTTATGATTGGACACTTGTAGTACAATTGTGAGACACACTATGAAATTATAGTCATTGTGTCACTGTTTACGAGATTGATTTTTTCTTAAAACTGTTCCCAGAATCCAGGAAGACTATGAAATTCTAGTCATTGTGTCACTGTTTATCATTACTGATTTTTTGTTAGAACTGCTCCCAGAATGCAGGAAATAGCGTTTCTAAGCCTTAGAAAATCAAACATTTTCTTTTTCTTTTTTTTTTCATTTTCATTTTTTTTTCCATTTTTTTTTTTAGCATTGCCCCGACGACTCGACTCGGTAAATCTAAAATCCTAGTTAATTACTGGCCTGTTAGGCTGTTACTGTAGAATGTATCGCGATTATATGATATATACTAGAAGTTACTATCGCAAGGGAAAATGCTAATAATTACATAACATTCAGTTTTGCTAATTTTTCATCCAGTTGCATCCAAATTTAAGCAAAATTTAATCAATTTGCCCTTGGCGTTCCTCTCAAAATTATTTTGTTTTTCGCTTTATTTCATTTTCTCTTTGGCATACCATATCTAAAATCATTTCCCAACTCACCCATTCGCAGGCTAAAACCTCTATCGGAAGAGGCTACTAAAAGCTCTGCATTTTAGCACAATTTTACAGATAAAGCACGCAGCCAAACATATGTTTTAATTAAGTTTGTTTGCTGCTCGAGAACATAGACATCTTATATACACTAGATAGTGCATCTAAATGATCTAATTATTCTGTAATTCAAAAATTGAAGCCGTGATTGCAGACTCAGGATATTCCCATGAAATGAGAAGACTCGTATGTTTTCTATTTCTTAAACAGGGAACTTAAACATTAAGTTAAACCTATTCCAAATACATTTTCAAACTGTTCAAATGATGAAAGTTATTGTTGTTTTTTAAGCGTTTATTAGCGAGTGGGAAACTCCAACATGACCGCCATCTATTCAAATTGGTGTAACCGCTAGAATATTCTTGGCTTCAATTTTACTTAAGGGGCGGACCATTAGAAATCCCGGGAGGGGGGGAATAATTTTTTTCAAAAATAACATTCAAAAGATTTTACTTACTCTGTGCATATTTTAAGATGATCACCCCAAGCAGCGAGTTTCGGATCATATTGTGAGGAGCATTGTTTGCCAGTCAACGCATCAATGCATTTATTTAATTTCTTGATGTCATTTTGCCAATATTGAAGCACACTCATCACTATACAGTTGTTAGATGAAGATTTAATACAAAAGTCTGCAAGAGTTATATTCTTTGAGCCAGTCTTTGGAATCACAGACATGTTCATCAAGTGAGCCTGCACTTTTAAGACCTACAATAGAAACAATAGTGTTCCAACAACTTGTTAACAGGATGTGTTTGCACTGCTTTGTACCCAGCTTGTTGACAAGTTGTCAGCGGCTTGTTGACAACCTCCTACAACACACGCAAAAATCTCACATCTTGTAGCAAGTCTGCCAACAAGCCGTCAACAAGTTGTGTTCGCACTGCTTGTCCCAATTTGTCAACAAGTTTGAAACAAGCTGCTACTCTCGATTTCAATTTGCTTTTCAAAACTGACTTCCAATGTTTACTTGTAAATTCGGAATGTTCGTTGTAAAGTTCCGAAGTTTGTTTCGAAGTTCGTTACGATGATTTACGATGATTTAATAGCAAGCGATTTGATTGGCTGGTTCACTTAACTAGCCAATTACAACTTACTAAACTTGATTATCGTAAATCATCGGAACGAACTTCGAAACAAACTTCGGAACTTTACAACGAACATTTCGAATTTACAAGTAAATATTGGAAGTCAGTTTTTAAAAGCAAATTGAAATCGAGAGTAACAACTTGTAACACTAACCTTGTTGATATTATCGGACTGGTTGCAAGGTTGTCCAAACAAGTCCGATCGATATAGCCTGCGACTAAGTCTGATACAGTCATGATATAACAGTATTGTTACAACCTTGTGTCGTCAACCTTGTAACATACTTGTTATATCATGATTGTATATCAGACTTGTCACAACAACCTTGTAACAAGTCTGATATTGCCATCCAGCTTGTTACAAGTTGTCAGTGACAGCTTGTTCAGAACCTGTTACAACAACTGGGAACAAGCAGTGCGAACACAACTTGTCGACAGCTTGTGAAGTTGTTACAAGTTGTTCCAATAAAATAAAATAAAATAACAACATTGTTACAACTTGTTGACAAGCTTGGTACAAGCCTGTTGCGAACACATTTTGTTGACAAGTTGTGAGATTTTACGCGTGTATATCAATAGCATGCACGCTCGATATATACAACGTGAGTTTACATACTTATCTCATACGAGGAGATGCGTTCAATCTCGAACCCACCGCTGTCGCATGCAGTTTAGGAGGGTTCAAGATCGATGTTTCGGTGGCGGGTTAGCCATTATGAAGCGATTTGTACAAATTTCCGACGAAAATGTAAATAAAAAATAAATTAACTGTTTTTAATTGTTTTATAATTATTATTTTTTATTTTTTTTTTATGAAGATGGAATATTAATTCTGTATTCAAAGTGGAAGAGAAGAAAGATGGCCGCCGAAATTTGTTCGGCACGGGCACTTTATATAAATCTTGGCAATGTTTTCGCAGAATGTGTTCATTTTCTCTTTTCAAGAATAAGGGAATATTGTAGAGAAGCTTTAATTTAAGCCTAAGTTTGTTTGTTTGCGTACTATGTTGGTGGCTAAAATGTTCGTTATCCAAACACGAAATTCTATACTAAAAAGTAAAATGCGTATAAAATTCTTCAGTACTTTTTAGTATTTTACCGAAATGGCTTGTGATAAAAACCAAACATACTTCCAGGGAGGTTAGTCCGGGATTGGACGCACCTCGGGTGGCTGGAAGTTTCCCGAACTCACACTTCCAGCCACCCTCGGTGCGTCCAATCCCAGACTCACCTCCCTGCAAGTATGTTTGCTATAAAGTCAGGTACTAATTAATACACAAAAAAAGAAGTAACATTTACATACAATTTTCAGTAAGTCCAACCGCAATATGGTCCCAGTAAGTGCACAATCCTTCATAAAGAAATTTTTATAACATGTTCGTTGATTTAACTCACTATCAGGCTTGAGTGAAAATATAATCTTTGCCGCCAAATACTCCGTCAACTTGACAGGAAATGGGTGCTTGCACGACTCTATGCAGTCCTGACAATCACATGCCTGCATTGTTGACTTGCTGACGGGGTCATAGAACGATTCATTGCATGATGTTATGGTCGCATTCATTGGCTTAATACCAGCCTTCGCCGTCACTGGGTAGTTGATCAAAAACGGAGATACTCCGTTGAGTTCAGGGTTACCCATGAAGTCTAGGAATTTCAATGGGGTACATTTTTCAACCCTGGTACCACACATGTAATTCATGATTTTCTTATGAGCATCCGGAAATGCAACATTTTTACAGGAGTCGTACAATCCATCTCTGAAAGCTTTAGCGACAGAATAGTCTATAGCTAGAATAGATTTTTCATCAGCACTCAGTTCTGTGGGGTTTACAAACATTGAATTGTTAGGACTGCATGTCAACCGACAGTTTAACTCTCGGAAATTTTTCCAACAGCTAGGACAGCGGGCCATTATTTGCTGGGCGCTTTTTATACCAGACTGTAGGCTGACAAGTTGATCATGATCACAGCACACTTTGCCACTGGACAGTAAAAGTTCTGGGCATAATTTCTCCAAGATTTCATGAGATCCTTGGTCGGCGACTGGCTTTGCTGGTCCGTTGTATAGGCAGTTCACAGGTTTGTTTGTCAAAGGGTTTATTCCGCACTGTCCATACCACATACAATAACCTTCTTTTCTGACAAAATGGTCAGCCTGTTTAAAGTTGAAAAACAAAATAAAAAAACCCCAGAAAACGCCTCATTTTAAAACTCCGTCTTACCGACGGTCGGAGTAATAAACTTATCTGGTATGTAGGGACAAAGTGGAGAATTTAAAATGCATATATATAAATGTCAAAGCTCTCGTTGGTAGGGACGTAACTACCTAAAAAATGTAGGTGAGAATTTCAGTAATAATAGCATTTATGTCAACACGGACGTCAAGTTGTCTTAGGATTTATTTCGATGAGATACATTTCACTACACTTTACATTGCGGATCTTGGAACACGAGCGGACATGTAAAGTATAGTGAAATGTATCTCATCGTAATAAATCCTAAGACAACTAAAGCCTCTGCCGTGCCTCTGCGGAGGAGAGGCCGAGGGGGGACTGGATTAAAAACTGTTATATATTTTTGTAATTTTGTAGCATCCTCGTCCCCAGTTCGGGCGGCCCTCGCCCGAGGATGCTTTTGCAGCAACTTTCAAAAACATTCAATCTCGTACCCAGGGCTTCTGCGCTCATTGCTGCCGTAGCGAGCGAGCGAGAGAGGCAGCCAACCTAATCTTTATGTATATGTATATATATATATATATATAAGGCAGATGAAATCTCGATCGTTTCGACGTATTTCGGCCTACCACAATGCACTGCTTCCGGGCCGGCAGGCTATTCTTGCCTAATAAACAGGCATAAAGCAAACAAGCAATGTGATCATCTTTCATCTTTGGTTTTCTTTTATGGAAAGCCCATAGCTGGCGTAAGTGATCAAACGGCATTTTGTCGATACGCAGTGGTTCGAGCGTTATACGCGGTGGTTTCGCTATTATACGCAGTGGTTCGAGCATTATACGTGGTGCTTTCGCCATTATACGCGGTGCGTTCGCCATTAGTTTTGAGCGCGTGTTACGTAACATACAAAAAATCTCATTTAGAGATTTGGGAACAATGCTATACCAAGGCAGCATTCACTACCCTGTGGGTAAACTAGTTTTATTTGAATTACTTTGTAAATATCTATCGAACTACAAGGCTGCATGGAAGAGCATATATTGTGAATGAATTCCGTGTTTAAATAAAGTTTTAATAATAATAGTTTAAACCAAAAATGCATACAATGTCAATATTTGAAAACCTTACGTACGGTACCTTGCTAGCGTGTAGTCCGTTGAACACGTATAACAAAATCAGCAAACCAATCAGACAAACGTTCATCTTGAATTGTTCCAGAAACGCACAACAACAGCAGTACCAAAATGGGCGTTTTATTTTTCAACTTGCATCAATATCACGGTCGATAGAGTATTTTTTCAGCAGGGCATGTCGCAAGCTTTATATAATGGCAGGATTGCGCCATTCGTGACAAACATAAAGTCAAACCGGTGTTCTTTTGCGCGCAATTAATGCAACTTTGCAATATCTTCACAGAATAAATATTGCATCACAACACTGCAAGTTGATTTGTAAATTGCAATGGCAGGATTGCGCCACTCGTGACAAACATCAAGTCAAACCAGATGTACTTTTGCGCGCAATTAATGCAACTTTGCAATATTCAGTTCCAACATTGCAAGCTGATAAATTAAATATCTGCTGATTTGTAAATTGCTTGAGCAAATTGCAACCACTTTTGAAAGCGTGACAGCTACAATATATATCATGAAAATAAATCTGAAAGGCTCATCATATCGATATTCAAGATGCCATGCAAACGTCATATTGACGTATTGGGTGTGTAGGTGGTTCAAGAACATTATTCTGTGACGTTTTCACGAGTTTCAGCGAGGCAAAACGCCAGAATATTTAAAAAAATATTACCATTATATATATATACTCATGCATTGTTTGCCGCATACAGAATATCTGGCATTTGTGAACCTATTTATAGCCAGGTTTCAGTGACGGGTTTCACATATATAATTCTATGCGGAACGCTAATTGACGTTTTCAAGGCAGGGTGGTGACCCTGATTGATTTACATATTGTATTGACATATCGCATAGACTGTTGACACTGCTTCAGGCCTTAAAATATCTTTTACAGGGCCGTCTGACAAAATGTCCGATGACTGTGAGTTTGGGTCGGACATGTGTATTATGATGTCCGATGACCTTCAGTTTAGTTTGGCTCGGAAATAATTCTAAATGACACAAATTAATATCAGCACAATGTATTAATTCTGAACGGTAAATGTTGTGAAAATATTAAATAATTTGCGTCATTCATACCTATGTCCAAGCCAAATTAACTTGCTTGCCAAAAACAGCAGTACGACTTTGTCAACTTAAGCAATAAGCCCGTTTCCCACTTCATATTTTCCATTTAATATAGTCGAGCCTCAGCCTAGTCCCAGTCGTCTTGAAGCAAGCGCCAGAAAAAAGTGAATGTAGTACGAGACTGGGACCTAGGTGTGACGTCACCGCTCAAGGTGCTTCAGAACGCCTAGCAGATTTCAGTATTTTTAATATGGCGGAAAATTTATATATACAAGTAACCTTTTAATTATAAATACGACAATGTTCGTTCATCATGTACATGTTCGATGTCTACATAACCAAATCAAACTGTATTAAAAATGTGCTCAACTAAAAAAATTATATACAAATTTACGATACCGATCGAGTTTGAGCAATCGTTGATGTTATTTATGTACTCGCAAGTTGTGATCAACACTAGACCATACTGGTATACACAACTACGCTTTCTACTTGACAGGTTTAAATTGCTGAGAGGTTTAAATTGTTTTAATTTGCCTGACATGACGGTGTTGTCAAAACATTCTTGGTCGGAGACTCGGCATAATTTTCAAGCTTCTAGATAGCATTTAATATGGCTATATATTTTAGTAAACACGAGTCATATTTAGCCCGTTACTCCATTCTGACCGTGTGGCAGCGAAACGTAGCCTACTTCATTGTTCCGACAGCATTAGAGCAAAACTAATGACTTAATTATAAATGCAAAGGAAATTTCCATAACATTTTCCATTTACAAATGAGGTATGCTTGGTAACCAGGCCAGGGACCACTTTTTTTAAATCAGGGACCATTTTACCGAAATCTGCTAGGCTCTCTCCCTGAAGCGTTCCGCACAGCACACCCAGGCATAAAACTTTTAAGACTTATTTAAATATGTCAAAGCAGCGAATAGAGAGAGAGCCTGGGACTAGGCTGGTCGAGCCTCTAGTCCTGGACTAGGGTACACTTTGATTTACGTTGGACAAAGCTACCGTTCGATCGAACACCAATACACTCGGGTCGGACAAACAATAAACTTCGGCTTCATTTAGGTCGGACAAACAATAAACTTCGGCTTCACTTCGGTCGGACAGAATGTCCGGTGGTTTCCTCTCTACGTCACGGTCAGACAATTTCACGAATGGGTCGGACAATGTCCGTGACCGACCGATATTTTAAGGCCTGACTGCTTTTTAGTCTTCAATATTTGAGTGAATCATGGCTTTGGAAATGACAATGAATTTTTATTACCCAACCCTTGAGTTTTGTTTTTCATTTACCCAAGCTTTTACTGGCTCAAAATTTTGTTTACCCAACCCCTTTCTTTTCGATGCCAACGCCATAAATGACCAGTCCCTTAAAAGGATGCATGAAAAATACATCATTCAAATTTATGACATCACTCCGTTTCCATATTTGGTCAGCGATACGACGATTTCACAGTTGATCAATCAGAAAACATGAATGTTTTTAATAATGGTAGAATTTGCGCGGGACAGTTTTAAAAAAATTGAAAAATTGAGACTAGGAAATGCCATTTTACTGTACTTTGTGGCACCAAATTGAAGAATTTGGAAGCATTATAAGCATTGAGGTCAATCCACGGCAAAGCAAAACAATGCTAATTTCTCATCCACAGAGTATAAATACTTGCGTTCGTCTTGTTTATATTGCTCAGTGTCACAGTGTGTGTGTGTTGAAAAGTGTTTTTATGCAACTGATTTTGTGCTGTAACCATGCAACACAAGTACCACAAGTAAACAACCAAATAAGCAAATGACCAATCAGATACTCCCGACGTATACAATAATTCTGATGAAGACTCGAAGTACCGAGTCGAAAGCTCAATAAAAGTCACTATCAATCCGGAAAACGTTCACAAATTACATTGTGTTGTAGTGGTCAGTATAGTAGATAGAAGACCGCTCAATACAAAATCCTTCGTAGAAAAAAATATCATGTAGTTTTATATCCTGTATGTATTGTACATTATACAAAGTATTTACATTCAACTAAAGTATAGTTAGTTTTAACTTAAAAAGTGGCTTTCTTTCACATATTTGGTGATCAAACAATGCATGCAATCACTTCTAGCCCCACTCAACTTTTGGTAACTTTGGGTATCCCCCTAGGGGAGGTGGTAACATAGAGGGAGGTAATTGAGGCAATCGTGGAAGATTCGCTGGCAATGTAAATGTTTGTGTATCATCTTCGTTAGCTATGTTCGTTTCCTTGCCATCCTCAGACCCCTTATTGCCGTGCTGATATTTTCGTTTCTTCTCCCATCTAGCCAGCCAAACACTGAGTTTCGGTTCACTTTTAGAAGTACTTGATGATGACTGGGCTTTTGCTATAATTAGTAAAAAAAATGGCAAAACAATTGTCGAGCAAGTCTACAACACTCTGGGCCTTTTTGCAAACCATGCTTTTTGGGGTGCAGTACATTTTCAAGGACCCAATACTTTGGCAAAACAAAATACTGGCAGTTCAAAATATACCATGTTGTTCCAAAAATATCTGTGGGTTCGTGTGTGAAAAACGGCAGTTAGCTCCAAAGTCACATGACCCTGTCTGGAAAAATCTTCTACACGGCAGCTTCTGAGATTCTTCTGCCAATAGTTGTACTGGGTCTAGTTTAATCAATAAAAAACATGTCTGCATGTGAGAGAATGAGAAATTGGTGTTCTGGTCTTCAAAGAATCAGGTAAAGAAGGGAATCATGGTTAGAGGTAAGACAATGGTTATTGTTGATAACAGTGGAGACAGAATTGTTTCTGCTAGACAAATGTGGTATATCTTCAACTGTGAATCTATGTTAAAACCTTTAAGGTGGCTCGCTACACTTTTTTAAAAAATTAAAGATTTTCTGATTTGGATATGAATCCAATCAAATTTCTGGACAATTATTATCCAACTGCCGTTGCTATGGCAACAATGACGTCACAACATGGCGGATATTTTATGTTTAAAGTAATTTAACTTCGGTGACCCCTATTTCTTTTAGTATTTTGAATTATTTTCATGATTTTAAAAAATTTCTATAATGGCAAAAAAATTTATTACGAATTTTCACATTTTCCTATCTTGAAAAATTTCGGCATGACAGAAATTTTTTAAAATCATGAAAATAATTCAAAATACCAATAGAAAATCATTTTATGAACTAAAAAATGGGGGACCGAAGTTTTTTTCCAGTTAAATTAATACTTTAAACATAAAACATCCGCCATGTTGTAACGTCATTGTTGCCATAGCAACGGCTGCTAGGATTCCGAACTCTGTAGTTATTGTGTTATGCCAGTCAGATACTCTTCGTTTTTCAACAAGTAATAATTGTCCAGAAAATCATATCCGAAAATCTTTAATTTAAAAAAGTGCAGGAATTCCGAAAAGCACGATCTTGTCGCCATGCTCGTTCTCCCGATGTTATTACGTTAATGAATCATTTACGTTAATATTTATTCACTCAGGCCTTAAAATATCTTTTACAGGGCCGTCTGACATAATGTCTGGTGTCGTTGAGTTTGGGTCGGACAAATGTCCGATGACCTTCAGTTCAGTTTTGACTCGGAAATAAGTCCGAATGACACAAATGAATAACGGTAAATGTTGTAAAGGTATTAAATAATTTGTTTTTTCATGCTTATTGCCACGCCAAAATTAACTTGCTTGCCAGAACAACAGTATTAAAAAAGAATTCTATTTCGACCATTTCGCTCGCCGCCCCGCGCTCGACTACGTTAAAACAACATTTCCAGTTCACCCTTTGTACAATAGTATACTCTGATTTTTCATTTAACAAACAAGCCTCTAGTCCTGGACTAGGGTACATTACGTCGGACAAAGCACGAGGTTGCAGTTCGGTCGGACACCAATACACTCGGGTCGGACAAACAATAAACCACAGTTTCATTTTGGTCGGACAGAATGTCCAGTGGTTTCCTCTCTACGTCGGACAATTTCACGAATGGGTCGGACAACGTCCGTGACCGACCGATATTTTAAGGCCTGATTCACTTCAGCACTAGCCAGCAAGGTGCAACTGTAGTGTACCTATTACGTACCAGACATTCCAAACATTGTGCTGAGGTAATGGTGACTAATGGTATTGCACATGTATGGGTATTCATTGCGCTGACGCGATGGTATTGCACATGCATGGATATTGCTATGTGCCGACAAAACTGTTTAGTCATCAATACATACTGTAAATATAGCACGCTAAATGACAACATTATACTTACCTCATATTCTAAATTCGCATAGCATATATAAAGGCCTGTAAACGTACACTTGGGCATTTTATGTAAATAACTCTTATAATACAGTAAAGGTACTGTATCTTAGTCAGTATCTCGCTTGGCGCACTCAAGAGGACATCGTCATCGATGACTTTCTACATGAAATAAATGTTCTGCGGAATATGTCTACGTGAACCGGCAATCATCTCCAATTTGGAAATCGGAAAGCAATACTCGCTCTTTGGCCGTATTTGCTGGTTACATATTCTTTATGGCAAAGGCCATATGCTTTAAAGTTCGTTGCACAGTTTGTGATGAGGTTTTTCAAAACCACTAACGTCAGAAACATACAAAATCTAAACACAGACGAGGATGGCTAAATGGCGTGGGTGGGTGGGTCGTGCGTCGTGGGTCGTGCGTCGTGGGTCGTGCGTCGTGCGTCGTGGGTACGGTGTTGAGCGTCGTATAGACAATGGAAATATTTTTTAAGACAGATAGACGGCAGACGGACGGACGGATGGATGAGAGGGTAAAAAACGGGCGGACAGAGAGGGTAAAATGCGGACGGATGAGAGGGTAAAATGCGAACGGACGGTGAGAGGGTAAAATGCGGATATGAAGGCATATAGAGTGGTATTTGTATTTTTCATGCAGAATTAAAATCCCAACCCAACTTTCATGCTTATTTTTCTTTGTTATCTGCATGGGTATGTAGTAATTTAATTTTATGCCACTATAATGTGCTGTTTTTCAAGGGCTTTTTAATGCAGTTATCATCCTAAAAGTAACGTTAATTCCCGTTGAGATATGACAATTTCAGTACGGCCTACTTTTACACAAACGCGAATTACAATGGCAACATTCATGCTTAAGTTTCTCGATTATCTGTGCATGTAGTAATCAAATTTTATGCTACTATAATGTGCTGTTTTTCTAGGGCTTTTCAATGCAGTTATCGGTTTAAATATACCTAAAATGCCCGTTGAGATATGACAATTTCAGTACGGCCTACTTTTACGCTAACGCGACTGCATGCAATTGCCACTTTCATGATTTCCTCTGGTAAGACTGTTATCCAGTCGTGTTGTAATCTAATTTTATGCCATGAGTGTAATGTGCTATTTTTGAAGCAAGGCATTTTTTAATACTGTGGACTGGTGAAAAAAATGGCAATGGCTATTGCCCCAAAGCCAGGTCCCTAGGACTTGTATGAGTAAATGAGTTTAACATTGAAAAAAAGTTTAATAAACTAAATTTGTTGGTGCAGCATACTATATAGTAACTGAACTTATGTTGTGTTTGAACTGAACTTATGTTGTGTTTGAATGTTTAGCATGCAATTTATTACAAATTTCACCTGATTAAAACTTTTTTAAAAAATGTGTCCTTAGAATGCACGAAATGCTATTTCAGAGACCCAAATTTTAAAACCATCACTAGCTAACTCGAGCCTACGGTACTCAGCTCACACCTTCGGCGATCGTATACTATTCTGCATGGGGGAGGACAAGGAGAGAATGGGCCCTTTAGCAATTTTGCCCCACCCTGACTGAAGAATCCTTAAACTGAAATGTACTGTTTTGAAGGACTTTTCAATGCAGTTATCCGTTTAAATACTTAAAATTTTGACGAGCTAGCATACCGCCCAGATAACAGACAAAAGTAAGCATGAAAGTTGCAATTGGAATTCACGTTTGCGTAAGGGGCCGATTACATGGAGCATTTTCAATCCCGGGGTTGAACTCAGCCCTGTTTACTGGGTTGAAATTTCAGCCCTGTTTGTAATACAAAACTCAATCAAAATCAAACGCGCGATTACATGACAAAATTTTCAACTCAGGGCTGAGTTCACCCCGGGGTTGAAATTTCAACCCTGCTTCAGCTAGCAGGGTTGAAATTTCAACCCCGGGGTTGAACTCAGCCCTGGGTTGAAATTATCATGAGTTATTCGAGCATACGTGGTAGAGATTATTTATTACAAGAAAACAAAATAAAGGCCTTTTTACTTCCGGGAATTGATGCCGAGAACGTATAGTATAGCGTTTCAACCCCGGGGTTGAAATCGTCCATGTAATCGCAAAAGATTTCAACCCGGTTAACAGGGCAGAGTTCAACCCCGGGGTTGAAAGTTCTCCATGTAATCGGCCCCTAAAGTAGGCCGTAACGGTTTTCAAAAAAATGGAGTGACACAGTTTTCAAAAAAATGGAAAATTCACCATTTAGATCGGTATTTTAATAAATTGTCAAAACAATTGAGTGTACTAAAAGAAATCATTTTATGAAATAAAAATTGGGGGTAGGCTGTTGCGGTATTTGAAAAACAAAACGAAAACCGATACCGGAAAAAAAATACCGATAATACCGATATTTTTTCGCGATTGTATTTTGCTTAATTTTATGCAAAATTTGCTTAATTTATGCAAAATTTTCTGTTTTCAAATGCTGCCAAACAGCCACGATATAACAGCTTTGACTCATTGGGTGCGTGATATTTTCAATAAAGTGTGAGACCCATCAGTAGCCTGTGATGTGTCCGCCGTTACGAATTGAAATTGCATATTACCTAATATTAGCATTGATTACCGCATCGGATGAAACATGTGTGATATTTTTGTCCGGGAAATTGTTTCAAAACATTTTATTCAACTGCGAGTTCGAAACAAAGATCGTCATATATCAGCAGAAAACTAACAATGTCCAATGAGGTTAGTTCTTGTTTTTCTAAAACATTTGTAATCCACCGTTGTTTACGTTCTAAAAGTTCACGAGCGAAATGACATATTACCTATAACTAAGCGAAATGACATATTACCGTACCTTGCAACGTACGCCAACGTAACGTATAAACAAACACGTTTTAGATCGCGTTCTAACCTTAATTGACGGATTTTCCCGCGGAGTTAACACATTGATCGTCTTTGTCCTTCTGAGTAACTTCAATCAGCGCTTGAAATTTGAAAAAGCTTGATATGGCGTTTAAATATACAAACGTAAACGTGATATCGATAATACCGAAAAATATCGATATTCCGATATATTGAAAATTCCAATATCGAGTAATCGGTATTTTGATAAAAAAAAGATAATTATCGGTTTATCGATATACCGCAACAGCCTAAATTTGGAGGTCACCGATGTCTTTTACAAGTTAAATTACTGTAATTAAATTCAACCACCCACAAGTTCACCCAGCATTTTTGCCAATGTGGTCATAGTTAATAGAGATGTGGCATATAGCTAAAAAGATTGGTGCAAAATTTTGACAGTTCATGGTATAGTTCGGTTTTAATTTTTTTTTGCGATTTACTAACGCACGACCCACGACGCACGACCCACGACGCACGACCCACGACGCACGACCCACGACGCACGACCCACGACGCACGACCCACGACGCACGACCCACCCACCCACGCCAAATAGACAATCTCAATTCAGACACCTTCACTCGTCTGGTCATCAGGCACCCGTAACCATTGAGTTGGATAATAAAGTCTGATACTCATCAGAGTATAAAAGCTGTGCATCACCGCCACTGCCACAAACATCTACGACCGCACATTTTTGCATGCTTACAATTCTAATTTGAAACAGCCAATCCCCGGCTCTTGGTAACAATTACAATTAATTTACAGGTAAACTACGTGAAGCGTTCCTCTTTTGACTTCGTAACTCATTTGGAATTTTCCTCATTAGCTTTGCAAATTTGAAAAACTCTTTGCAAATCCCTTGAGGGAATTTGCAACGTTCCTATCGGCTGTTGCAATATTCCAAACTTCATTTTAAATTTTCCTAACTTCCTGTTTTAATTTCCTAACTTCCTGTTCTGTTGTGAGCGTTGTTATTGGTCGATTATTTTGTTAGCCAATTGCAACGCCCAGAACAGAACAGGAAGTTAGGAACTTGTAACAGGAAGTTAAGAACTTCTAACAGGAACTGAGGAAAAATTTTTTGGCTTTTAGCAACATTGCAAATTTCCTCAAGGGAGTTTTTTAAATTGCAAAAGTAATGAGGAAAATTGCAATCAATTTAGAAACTCAAAAGAGGAACGCTTCACGTAGTTTACCTGTAAACGTCGATTGGCTGTTTCAAATTAGAATTGTAAACATGCAAAAATATGTAGGTGTGGTCGTAGACGTTTGTGGGAGTGGCGGTAATACAAATTTTTGATGCGTTTCCACAGTTCGGTGAGTTCCGTAATATATTGATGCGTACGTTCTCTAAAGAACGCATCATGCTGGCTCAATTGTATATTTTAAGTATATAAAATATGTTAGTATATATTGTATGCTTAACCATGAAAAAAATTGCATAGCCCCCCCCCCTGTCGGGGAACATAGCCCCTCCGTCTGGAAATTTCTGTTGCCACCACTGAGATGCACCTAACCTGAAGTTCAGGCCCTAATCACAGAATAGGGCCTGACACAAAACCTATCTAAAGTGTGGGATTCCCGTCCATCTGGTGGACGGGAAATCTGATTGGTTGATCAGCATCATGAAGGATTTTGATTGGTTGCAAGTTTACATAAACAACAGTTTTAAAAATAGCTCGGTCAAGATATGGGAATGTCGGACGAATATCCACTTCCATTAATATAAAGGTCAAACGCACGTACAAATTCCATTATCGATTTCTTCGAATTTCTTTTTCTTTTATGATTTATGGCAGAAAATAAATCAAACAAACGGTATTTTGAAAGGGCTTTATCAAAATCTTGGACGAATTTTCAACACACGACGCCGAAAGAACAGCCAAACTAAGTCATGTATTCGAAAGCTTGTTGTTGACAACTGTCACAGCCAAGATGTTCTGCCAACGCCATTCGCCGGCAAAAGTCTTATTTTTAATATCAGGTCCTACCGGCGTTGTTTTCTGAGCTACATCGCCTTCTTCGTGGTACGATTGAGAATTTCATTGTTGCTGTTGTTAGCCCGTTTTAATAAAGTATATCCCTATAAATATCCGCGTCCAGCAAGTTGAGACCTTGAGAAAGCTTGGCAGTCAAGCCGTGCACAGAACTGACTAATTAAATCTTTGTCTGAATCTTATTTATATAAAAGTACCTTGAATTTTTAAGTTTAATTATAAAGCAAAATGCACACTCTGCGGACATGTTCATGAGAATATAATTTTTTTGTGTAACGAAATCTACAACACTTGTCAATCATATTGCATGTTGTGTCTAAAAATAACATGTGGGCGTCCCACGGTCTAGACAGGTTTTGTGTCAGGCCCTATTTCAAATTAGGGCCTGAACTTCAGGTTAAGATGCACCCTACTTTATTATTTTACTGTCTAATGCCAGACGATTTTACTCATCAGAGGGAGAGTGCTGCCATTCAATGGTTAATGTCAATTCTGAACTTTGATATTTTTATATTGTTTGCACGTAAGGATAAACAGTCTGAGATGCATGCAAAGTTGCAAACATTGACCGTTTTTATACTGGAGACGCTCAGACACATTATGCGTCTGAACAAACTTGGGCAAGCATTTCTTGTTCGTCTGGTTATGTGTCCTTAGTATAAAGACAGGCACAAGACACATTATGCGTCTAGATGAACTGTGTTCAATTCTTCGTCTTAAGAGACGCACAACCGATGATAGTTCGTCTAGACGCATAATGCGTCTTGTGCCCATCTTTATACTGAGGATGCATAACCGAACAAACAATAATAATCCTGTGGTCTAATACTTTTGTCGACATCACCCACAACAAACACCAAATATGCGTTAGTAAAACATGTTCATCCTTTGGGGTATTATTTATATGACCCAGTAAGCGGGATAAATTTCTCTTGCATTTATATGAGAAAATTTCATCCCGCTTGCATGGACAATTTTGTTGTTCTGGCAGTTGTTACTTGTTAATAATAGCTCGCCGCGGCATCTTTGAACTTTTATCCCAGCAACGGGACCAGCCCGCTTGCAAGTGTAAGTGTAATCATATAAACGATAATTTTCACTATAAAAATAACTACACATTGAGATCTTGCTTACCGGGCTAAACAGCCCCTTAGATGGGAATGACAGTGAATGCTAGACATCTAGACGTATCAATACTGTACCTTTGAATGAATCATAATGCATTTTGCGGTTTCGCTTGTGTTGGATGCCATTTATATGTTTCCTCCGATTGCCGGGAGAATCAGCAAAATGTCTGTCACAGTATTCACAATAATACCTTTTACCCATAGTACTCAGTGAGTTTTGTTTATATTCTTGCAGCTATAAAGCTACAGTATATGGTATTCTAGACCTGGTCTAGCTTTCCTGCCTTCCAGAAGTTTAATTAAAGCTTAAAAATATTGAAATTGCTTGTTTAAAGTCCCCACACTTTGGAGTTAACCAGTTTCATGTCGTAATATTTCCATCAGAAACAAAAGAAACCTCGAAAAATCCCGAGAAAACCAACAAAAATCTTACAGTTTCATATAAAATAGAGTTTCAAAAAGTTTCAAGAATTTTCAATTGTAAAAACCGCGAGAGGACTGGAACTAGGGTTTAACTTTAAATCTCTTCCTAATCCAGTAATCCAACAAACTAATCTTAATCTGATCTAATCTTGTGATTATATGTATAGAAATCGTATAAAATGTTGAAAAAAAAGATATATTGGGCAGCATTTATTAAATTGTGAAAGGTTTAATATGTTATGGCAACAAATTTGAATTAAAAACAATTGAGAATGAATTAAACATTACTTTTTCCCAATTCCCATGGCTACATCAAATTAAAATTCAATTTTTAATATAATATTTATAAAATGGATAACCCATCTAATCTGTAATTTAAAAAACAAACTTGAAAAATCTTATCATTTATTTAAATATTTATCTTTCTCCATATCGTTCTACTTACTGTAGGGGGTCGAATTTATTATGCACATTGAGTTGTATGGGCCGGATGGTTCTTCCATTTATGGTGTGAAAACCTATATTGTTTTGGCTCTTTTTTTAATGAGGAAAACATTTTTAGACAAAGAAACTAAATAATTCATTTTATTCAGCATCTCATCGCGAGATCTCCGCCCTTTGCAGGTGAAATGTCTGCGCCTGTCAGGGGGGCGGTGACCCCCAGACAGAAAAGGGGGTTGGAGAACTGTGAGCACGCTTCCTCTCGAAAAAACACTTTTGCAATCATGGCGGGATCATATCCTGAAATCGTCCGTGGACAAGTTTTCGACGTCGCGCCCCGTTATACAAACTTGAACTATATTGGCGAAGGCGCATACGGCATGGTCTGGTATGTTCGATTAGCAATGTAACAATTAGTGGCGAATAGAACGAAAATGTAGCAAATTTCGTGCGAATAGATCGGTGTAAATCGCTGCCTTGGAAGACTATAAAAATTGCTTGTTTTTTTTGTCTCTAGCTCTGCGATGGACAACCGTTTAGGGGTGCGAGTGGCCATAAAGAAAATCAGCCCGTTCGAGCATCAAACTAATAGCCAACGAACGTTGAGAGAAATAAAGATCTTGACGAGATTTAAGCATGAAAATGTGCGTATGCTGATGTGTGCTAGCTCTCCTATGGATAAATATCTTATCGCCTAGTTGGGTATATTTGTTGCCCGGTCGGCGGATATACAACCCCCTTTCCAGTGAAATTGTCTTATGCATTGGGCTATTCCATTTAATATCCGTACCCCCCCTGTCGAGGATCCCTGGAATTCTTCAGGGGTAAAGGGTTTTGAGCTTGGAATTCTTCAGGGGTAAAGTGTTTTGAGTTTGGAATTCTTCAGGGGTAAATGGTTTTGAGCTTGGAATTCTTCAGGGGTAAAGGGTTTTGAGCTTGGAATTCTTCAGGGGTAAAGAGGTTTGAGATTGAAATTTTTCAGAGCTTGGAATTCTTCAGGGGTGAAGGGTTTTGAACTTGAAATTCTTCAGGGGTAAAAGGTTTTGAGCTTGAAATTCTTCAGGGGTAAAGGGTTTTGAGCTTGCAATTCTTTAGGGGTGAAGGGTTTTGAACTTGAACTTCTTCAGGGGTAAAAGGTTTTGAGCTTGAAATTCTTCAGGGGTAAAGGGTTTTGAGCTTGGAATTCTTCAGGGGTAAAGTGTTTTGAGCTTGGAATTCTTCAGGGGTAAAGTGTTTTGAGTTTGGAATTCTTCAGGGGTAAAGAGGTTTGAGATTGAAATTTTTCAGAGCTTGGAATTCTTCAGGGGTGAAGGGTTTTGAACTTGAAATTCTTTAGGGGTAAAACGTTTTGAGCTTGAAATTCTTCAGGGGTAAAGGGTTTTGAGCTTGGAATTCTTTAGGGGTGAAGGGTTTTGAGCTTGGAATTCTTCAGGGGTAAAAGGTTTTGAGCTTGGAATTCTTCAGGGGTAAAGGGTTTTGGGCTTGGAATTTTGGAATTCTTCAGGGGTAAAAGGTTTTGAGCTTGGAATTCTTCAGGGGTAAACAGTTTTGAGCTTGGAATTCTTCAGGGGTATGACAATGAAAAACATGTATCCTCGACAGGGGGGGTACGGATATTAAATGGAATAGCCCATTCTCTTGTTTTATTTTGATAGATCATTAATATTATGGATATCATACGTGCTCCGGACTTGAATCAACTCAAAGACGTGTATCCTTTAGAGAAATTATAATAGACAGCCAGTATTAAGACAGTCTAGCTAGTAGCTACCCACCCATCGATATGTAAAGCCATTAAATGTCCTATTTATTCTTTACAAACAAACTCCGTGGGGCCATTCCATTTAATGTACACACCCCCCTGTGGACGAAGTCAATAAAATTTGAACCCCTAAGAAAAAAAGATCAAAGTGCCGACACAAACACCCCTCCAGAAATTAAGAAATTTTTGCCTTACCCCTCGGAAAAAACGCAAAGATCAAAGGATGCTGATGCACACAACCCCTCAGAAACGGCTTTTTCAACCCCCCTCAGAAATTTTCGTCCACAGGGGTGTGTGTATATTAAATGGAATGGCCCGTGTCCGCTTTCTTTCGAAAAGTAAAACAGTATTTTGTGTGTTGTATCTTTTGGATATAAAGTATAAAATCCCCCACAAGTTTGCTTCTTGGCAAATTGCCGACTGCGAAATGAACACTATTTACTGAAGTACATTTTAATATGTTTAAGATATTTATACGGCATAGGTTTTCCAAAACGTTATGTAGACGGAAGCCTTCCAGTATTGGAGCGTAAATGTGTTTTTAGTCTAATTTTGTCATTCTGTGTTTGTCAAATGGAGGATGATGCGAACATATTAATATGAGCACATACTTTATACGTTTTTCCTTGGCTACTTGTTATTCAATATGCCTGAGTAGGTGCTTGACAGACGGCAAACCAGATGGCGATCAAATTCATGAACACAACACGAAAATAACTCCAAAATTCAAGGCCTATACTTGTTTGCAGTGTGCTGCTCAAATTGTAAACAATTGAGCTGCATTGTGACAATTTGTTTACTTCCCCAGACGAAATCCCTTGCAGTTTGTCACCTTCAGCGGGCAATTGCAATAAACAAAGTTGTATTAATTTACACAATGTCTGTGCCAAATTATATCTGCCATCATTTCCTGCAATTATTATGGGTTATACAATACTTGCTCATACCATTTTTCTGTGCAGCAAACAACGCTATTGTATTTTAATATTGTACTGTTTGTTTACAGTAACACGGTGATATCCTCCCAGAATCCCCCCCCCCCCCGTCGCCAAAAAAATTTCGGTCTGTGTACCATTTTAGGGGTTAAAAAAATTTTCCGCACAACCTATATTTTTCGGAACATAACACAAATTTTCGAAAAATCACACAATTTGCGAAAAAATTCACTTAATTTTAGATAAAATTGACTGAATTTGTCCCATTTTTTGTTTTTCAAACCAAAATTGCCCGACTGTTGATCGAATATTGCCCCCGTCCGGTACGCCTATGTGCTATCATTTATTTATAAGAGACCTTTGATTGCCCTGCCAATCGGGATGATTCGTATTTTGGGGGGGGGGGTGTAACACCCCCCCATACCCCCCCTCAAGTTTCGCCCCTGTCGCGGACAGATAGGCAATTTAAAACGGAACATAAACGATTCACCCTTCTCGTCGATTCTACGCTATAAAGACGCTTTATTTATTGACATATACGTTTCAAAACATTAAGGTTATAAGTAACCTTTATGCTATAGTGATGGTCATCATAATGATACATTTGTTTAGTCTGTGTGGAAAATATATATACCTGTATATTCTCTGCAAGACAACAGGTACTGTAAAATGCATGCATGACTTTATACATGTAATTGCAAGAATGCCATGCATGTTTCCAGAGACTCATTGCAAATATTGGCCTCTGGCAAATCCTTGAATTGTATATTCAGTAATATTCAGACCAATTATTGCTTTGGGAGTCAGTGCCTGGCTAAAGATAGATTAGGGAGGTAGTTGCTCCATAATCTATATGGTTATTGGAAAATGTGGAAGCCAGAAAGCTTGCGAACTGATGTTCAATTTCTGTAACTTGCAATACACAATGTGTTTTAAAATGTTACCATACAAAAATGAATCAATTTGGTATAACCAAGCATTTACTGTATGTTCTGTATGTTTGTTCAAGTGATTTGGGTGGCAAGGGGCTTAATCACATTATTATCTGATTAGATCTATTGCAAAATAGTCTGATTATTAATCCATTGAGCACTGGTGTGATCCTCTTGATGTGCAAAATTGTCTGGAGTTAGGCAGAGTAAAATGATAATGATATAGATGCATTAGGGTGCATTATGCAACTTAATGGGTATTTTTTTTGTATTGTATTGTATTAAAAGAGACACTAGCCCCGTCAACGGTGCGTTGTATTAGAGACACTAGCCCCGTCAACGGTGCGTTGGTTTCCACGGGGGGCGTCTACAATGTTAAAAATTACAAAAGATATAAGGGAAAAGAAGACTATTTACAAATTGGTGTGACCCCAGATGTTATGGTTAGACGGAGTTACAATTTATTTCAAATATATATAGTATTAGAGTTAAGTTTTAAATGGCTTTTGAACAGGTGCATTGATTCTGCCAGTTTCGTATCGATCGAGAGACTATTCCATAGCTTAGCCCCACTGTATTTAAAACTCTTTTTTAGGAATTCTCTTTTAGGCTTAGGAAGAGCCAAATCTGTATGACTATTTCTAAGATCATAATTTGTTTGCATATGATTGCGTCTTATCAAGGATTCTTTCAACGTAGGTCCTACGTAATCCTTCAAGACTTTAAACATTAATATTGCTTTGGTTGTACGTCGTCTTGTCTCTAAATTGTCCCAAGCAAGAGATTGAAGAACATCAGCAGATCTAATCTCATAACTTGCACCGACAATGATTCGGGCTGCGCGATTTTGAAATTTTTGGAGTTTATTTTTCAAATTTTGATCACAGACGCCTCAAATGGGAGAACAATAGTCAAAATACGGCTGAATCAGAGCTCGATAAATTGTTTGAAGGGTGGTTACTGGAACAAAGGGTTTAATACGTCTCAAAGTACCCAGGCCTGCTCCAACCTTTTTGCAAATCGCCTGAATATGTGAATTCCAGTTAAGATTTTCATCTAAATCGAGACCAAGACATGTGAAAGAGTGAACTCTGGGGATGCGTTGGTTATTTAACATCACTGGATGATCAAAAGTTGTGGAATTAATATGATGTTTAGAGCCAAAGAACATTATTTTGGTCTTAGTTGGATGGTGTTGTAATTTATTTCTAGAAAGCCAATCACCGATTCTACTCAGATCGTGATTAAGGTTTTCGGTTAATTCAATCAAACTGTTAGAGCTGCAGCAAATTTGGGTATCGTCACCATTGAGGTGCAGAGTTTTCCCCTCTATGAGCTAAATCGTCTGGCATTAAACAGAGTAAAATAACAAGGTAGGACACATTAGGACGTGTTGCAATTACATAATAAATGAGTTGGTGTTTTGCTTGTTTCTTTCCATAAATCACCCATAACTAGTAATAAATCAAGCATATATGATAAAAACAAACTTATGTTTTTTTCTGTGTTGGTGTCATGTACTCAGGTGATTATGATGTTATTCTGAGTGTATATCCACACCGGGCAAGCTTGAAAAATATGCCTGGCCACGGTGGTAGAGCATTGGGCTAGTATTCCAAAGGTCGTAGGTTCGATTCCCACCGTGGCCAGGTATATTTTTCAAGTTTGCCCGGTGTGGATATACACTCAGAGTAACAGCATAAACAACAAACTTATGTTGCCAATGGTAGACACTGCATGAAATATTTGGGGATGAAATTTTCAACATGTATGCCAAAGGGGTTTCAGTGTCTGTTTAAGGCTAACTTGATCATTGTGTACGTTAATTGTGATATTTAGTACCAGAATTTTATAGGTCTTTCAAAATTCGAAGTGACTATATGACCGGCAGCCGGTCACGGTTTATCAAATACTAAATGGCCGGCAGTCTAGTGACCAATGTTAAAGTTGAATTTTTATAAGATAAACCTATCCCCAACCACAAACCCTTTTCTAACCCTAACCCCTAACCCTAACCTTTTGAGAGTTAGAAAAGTCGGGAAAAAAAGTTTAAAAAATTTTAAGAAAAAACAATGCTAAGTCAGACAAAACTCATCCCGACCCCGACTGCGTTTAACTGTCCGCACGCAGCGCCCTTGCCGTATGAGCTAGTGGCAAGCTCGGTAAAAGTTAACGCAAACAAAAGTTTTTATATTCAACTATAGTCACTAGACTGCCGGCCATTTAGTATTTGATAAACCGTGACCGGCTGCCGGTCATATAGTCACTTTGTTCAAAATTATTGGGGGAGGCGACCACCCCTGTATATTGGGCCAAAAATAATAAACATATCACGTATACAAAATGATCAGTAATGCAAGCAGCAGTTGAAAACATAAGGGAAAAGTGGTCGGAGTATTCAATTGTGCACTGTTGCAGCGACCCGAGTTGTAACTCTCCCAAAAACCATTTTTGACAATCCAAACGACTTGCCAGACATTTCCTTAATACCAACAACAGCTATATCGTGCAAACATTGATGGAAACAGATTTGTATAAATTATTGAAATCACAACCACTGAGCAATGATCACACTTGTTATTTTCTATACCAAATACTCCGAGGTTTGAAATATATTCACTCGGCCAATGTTCTGCATCGAAATTTAAAACCAAGCAATTTGCTTTTGAACACAACATGTGATCTTAAGGTTTGTGCACATACCTTCTTCCGGGAAAAGTTTGTATTGACCTGACGATATTGCAATTTTCATCATGTTCAGATCAATCTTCATCACAATCATTACCACCATCACCACCATGACCATCAGGAGCGGATCCATACTGTAGCAACTGTAGCAAATGCTTCAGTCAGATTTTCGTGCAAAAATATTTTTAATACTGAATGTGTTGATAGTAAAAATTCCTTATAGAAGTTTTCCAGTTTCTCTATCTCAAAAAAAAATAACTTCCACAGCTTCGACCCGATGTCCGTACGTTTTTTGTGAGCTACGAATATTGAGTTACGTTTTTACGCGCTTATCTTAACCTGATTTTTACCCGAAACAACGCCCGCTTTTAGGGGAAATCACCTAAATTTTTTAAACATCGTTCAAAAAGCGTTCAGAAAAGTGGTCTAAATATAGCGATTTATGACGTCAAAATGCTACAGTCAACTGGGGGTCTTACGTCAAAATGCTACAGTCAGCGGGGGGACGAGTTACTAAATTTAGCATTTTTTTTCTTCTCTGTGTTGGTGCAATGTACTCAGGTGAATATGATGCTTGTGATGTTACTCTGAGTGTATATCCACACCGGGCAAGCTTGAAAAATATGCCTGACCATGGTGGGAATCGAACCTACGACTTTTGGAATGCTAGCCCAATGCTCTGCCAACTGAGCTACGCGGTCTGGTCGGTTCGAGTATGTGATATTTCGTAACAGAATCTAGTTTCTTCGATATCAATGTAATCTAATAATCATGATTTTTTTTTCTATGTTGGTGCAATGTACTCAGGTGAAAACCGTATTTACTCGTTTGAGCGCCGCGGCGCTCTTTAAATTTTCAGATCTTCAGATGCGGCGCTCATTCGGGGGCGGCGCTCAATGGAGGGCGGCGCTCTTTAAAAAAATTTGATCTCAAATGCGGCGCTCATTCGGGGGCGGCGCTCAATCGGGGGCGGCGCTCAAACGAGTAAATACGGTATGTAGCTCAGTGTACTCAGGTAGCTCAATGTACTCAGGTGAATCGTAGGTTCGATTCCCACTGTGGTCAGGCATATTTTTCAAGCTTGCCCGGTGTGGTTATACACTCAGAGTAACAATACAAGCATCAAATTTAGCATTTTTGCTACAGTCAGATGAAGCAAACCAATCGCAGTGCTGCAATGCGCTACAGTCAGCTACAGTTGCGCAATTCGATGGAACTTTAGACCGATATTATTTGGCTACATTTGTTTGCGCTTTTACCGAGCCAATTTCTTTCGAAGAAAAACTAAGTAGACTAAAGGGCGATGTGAGGATGCCATCGGGAGCAAAGTTAAGACCGATCGCCTGAAAGATCGCGAGGTATTTGTGTGTGATTTTTCGAAATTACAATTCGAAACGGTGAAAGAGCGCGCTCGTTGAACCACGTTCGGGTCAGCCGGTCAGGTAAGCTTATGAATATTAGAATATATTAATAAACAGAATATAAATGTAAACGCTCCGTGCCAGTGCCAGTGGTTGGAAATTGCGCGCCGGGGATTTCGAAAATTTAATAGTAAATATATAGAAAGCATCAAAATTGCGCGTCCGATATATATTTCCGCCGCGCGATACAAACTTTCCACACTGGTAAATGATAACAACAAAGCTTCGGATTGAGAGATATGGTACGTTTTATACTGAATTACCGTAACTCAAAAATACAAGCAAAACAACGAAATTTGGCTTGTATATTTAAGTGGTTGAATCTCTGTTAATCCGAAGGTTTCTTTCAGTATATAAATGTGCCTGTTTGCGTTATATATCGTTCTGCCCATTGATTTTATGCATTGATTGTAATTGTGTTTATATATGTTACACATGTGCGGTATGATATTAGATTACATATTAATATGGGGAGGAAGGCTGGTCTTAAACTTGCATACAGTAATTAAGAATGTAGATCTGGTATGATTTGGTATGTCGTTTAACCATTTTACTGTCTTTACGTGTTTTTGTAACTTTTTGTCTAAAATATGGCCTTATTAAGATCAAATTTTAGAACAGAATTCGATGCTCGGGTGCAGGAAATGGTGTTTCCGGGCTCCAAATTTTCCAGGGGGGCATGCCTCCGGACCCCCCTAGATTACGTGGTGCCTCCTCAGTTTGGGATTATGCTACAGTCAGATTTTTAGCTGGATCACCATCACAACCTGACCACTATCACTATGACCACCATCATCATCACCACCTCCAGCATCATTACACCACCACCACCACCATCATCATTACCACCATCATCATCATCATTTCCATATATTTTGTTCAATTTTAAGTGATGTTTTTTGCTTTAGTACAATTTAGCTGTAGGCTTTTAACGCTAATAGTCGTTGATAAGTATGAATATCATTACCTATTTTGTAATGCGACAGAAAATTGCAACGTTAGTGTCATTAGCGGAACAAACGAGGCAAACTAAATTCTGGGCGTATATGTTTATCGGACTTGTTTTGGTTTTCGGAACGATATGAAGCGGAACGTTTAGTGCCGTCATTGTTTGGGGGAACAAAAACTCTGTTCCTTTTATAAAGGAACAAACTAAAGCGGAACAGCTCATTCCTTTTTACACTTTAGGAACTATTCGTTCCGTTGCACGAGAAAGGAACGAAAACGCGTTCCTATTTTCGGAACTAAAGTTTTAAGTTGCAATATAACGCGAGCTAGGAACAAGAATATACGTTCCTATTTTCGGAACTAAACCCAAAAGTTTTGCCCAATAATTAGCATGCAACCTTTCCTCAGCAAAGTCAGTTTTTGATTATTTGATCGGTATTGTATGAAGATATTTCAATCGATGTCGATACTAACTATTATAACATAGTGAAGAGCAGTAATATATTGTGTTGTTCGCCATGAAGTATATTATATATTGACGAGAATTGCACTGTTGTATATGAAAGAGATTATACCTTAAATGGATTTGCGGTTTGTGAAAACTTTATGCTTCAACATGATTTATATATAAATTAGACTGATCAACTATTTTCAAAGCAAACATATTATACGTATTATAGTCGCAGGAATAGAAAATAAGGCAACCGAGAATGCATTTAGTTTTGCGTGGAATCGTTTAAGAAAGAAATAAATAAGGAATAGAACTTCACAAATTTTATTCAACTATTCACAAAGCAAATTTAAATTTACAAGGTACATGAGTGAAATACACTAGATAAGTTTTTGTTGAATTGCACGAAGTCTAAGTGTCCTAGCTTCTCTACCAGGTTGAAAGTTATATTCTGGATGTCGTAGGATTGTGCACCATCGTGCACCAAATCTTTTAATTCCCCTTTCTATAAATTGATCCTCTTCTTTCGTGAATCTCAGGGGTTTGCGTTTCTCGGCACAAACCTTTTCTGTCGTTGTTTGTGGTATGGAAGTGGTTTCGTTATCACTTTTTGATTCGTGTTCGGAACAATGTTCTTGTTTTAACTGTTCAACGCAAGTGTCCATTTCTGCTCCGTGTAAGCCACGCAATTTTTCCATACATGTTCGCCCTTTGATAGCTACATCTCGAGAACGCAATTTCTGATAATGGACTCGGGCGACATTCGAACTGTGTTTTTGATCTTCAGAAACCAACTTCTGCTCCTCTACATTGAGGATTTGCACACTTTCAGTTTCAATGATTTGCCTGTATCTTGTGGGATGAACGTATTTTCCGATTGCCTGAAAGACTAATATACTTAAGATTTCTGTTAATTTTTGAAATTGAATGCCATTACGATTGACGAGCAAATAGTCGCACCTTGGTTGCAGAAATGGCCTAACATAGCGAACGTAATTGTCAACAACATCCAAACTAATTTCGTCAAAATATAAGGAATCAAAGCCATACTTTTTGGCAGTTTTGAATTTGGTTTGATCGACCATTCCTTTATTTCGTTTTGCACTCTCAAACATGCTAACCGTCAAATGCAGATACGTCATAGGCCTACAGCCTTTAACTTTAAAAAACATAAATACTGCTAGGAATCGGGTAGCGAATGTAAGATTCGTTGCGCTAACAACAGGTGATTTGTTTTTGCATTCGTCCAATATAATCTTATAACGTGGTATATGGAAGGGTTCGGCTAAGCTTGCCCAACTCCGTCTTGATTCAAGTGTTTCTATGTCAAGATCTGTCGTCCAGTGCGACCTCATTACCTTTGACAAACATTTCTTTGCTCTCTTGATGTAAACTTCAGTAACAGAGAAATTTTGCAGTACGGCGCCCGAGGGAGAGTTAAACTTTCGAAAATCTAACAGCTCAGATATGCTTGTTATGTAACCTAATTGGCCGGAATTTCCCATTTTTCAAGTACCCTGAAGATAATCAAGGAAACCCGTTAACAACTTCGAAGAACCAAGAAAATAATCTATAATTTCTAAAGACGAAGTCGCATTCAATTCGTCCTCGCCCGTTTCAGAACAACAAAATGTTATAAACTTGAGAGCCCTTGTTACTGAAATTTGTGATTGCTTTTCAGACTTGCCGCCCCCATGCAGCCGTACTTTGTAACCACACCGAAAGGGAACGACATAAATCATTTTCCGTAGAACAACAAGGAATTGTATGTTTGGCTTTTGATGTGATTACATTGCCTTTTTCTTCAACAGTATTTGAAATAACAATAGGTTTTTGATCGAAATATTTATACCAAGCGTGCTTTTCGTAAACATGCTTCCTGCAACCGCGACAACTGCTAAATCCAGGGTGTTCGCATCCACTTACAGGACAACGATATAAGTGATTCTTGTCTTGTTGCAAATGCAGTCTTCTTGGTTTGTCAAAAGCTCCATCAACCGATTTCCAATCCACCTTTCCAGCATGTTGACGTGGCATTTAAAAATGAACAACACCGACTAAGTGGCTGCTTATAAAGCACAATCAGACGTTGTACTTTGCATAAACGCATTCATGCATAACGCTCATTGTTGCACCGTACAATACATTTTCAAGGTAAATGTATCAAAGACATAAACCTATGCCATTACTTAACAGCTTTCGGTCTCTACAATTGTCCAAGCCCACATATACACTTTTAAATATTGAAAACTTATATTAGAATCCCTTGAAGCGCAATTGGGATTAGTAAGACCAATTGTATTGGTATGTGGCGTTAAAAGCTACATAAATCATGAACAGTTTCAATAAACTAACTTTAGATTTATATAAAGGGTTAAACAAAATGTGAGGATTGTGCTCTTGTAAAAAATTGGGATGTAGAGTGAAAAAAGTTTTTCCAACATTTCAACGTGTACCTGCTGTAGCCCGGCATCGAAATTTTTCTAAGTGTCGAGTGAAATTAGTTTTCCTAACATTTAACGGGCTACGGGCTACTAATACAAATCCCAACAAAAACGCCGGGCTACTTGTCAAAATCACGGGCTACCTCTTGCTGGTAGCCCGGCGTTGAAATTTTTCTAAGTGTCGACTGAAATTAGTTTTCTCAATTTGTAACGGGCTACGGGCTACTAATAGAAATCCCAACAAAACCGACGGGCTACCAACGGGCTACCTGTCAAAATCACGGGCTACCTCTTGCTGGTAGCCCGGCGTTGAAATTTTTCTAAGTGTCGACTGAAATTAGTTTTCTCAATTTGTAACGGGCTACGGGCTACTAATAGAAATCCCAACAAAAACGACGGGCTACCAACGGGCTACCAACGGGCTACCTGTCAAAATCACGGGCTACCTCATGCTAGTAGCCCGGCGTTGAATGTTTCCTAAGTTTAAAATACTAATTGAAAAGTTGAATTATTATATTGAGCATTGAATTGTGAATATTAAATAATAATGTTTGGTATAATATTATCTTTAGTACATATAATAATATTTTCATTAGTTTCATAACAATTAGAATTATTTTTATACTAATATATTTATAACAATTATTTT